GTTACCTTGTTGTTTATGACCTTTAAATGCTTCTTTTTTGTTTATCAGCGCTTTCTGCTCATTATTTAGGATATAACTTTCTTTATCGGAATTAGATTGTTGAATTGTTCCACTATCAGATAAAAATGTTGAATTATTTTTATTAACGGAAGTCTCATTTCAAGTAAAAATGTTGATTACTGACACATCATAGGACGAGAGCAAACGTTCACCCAAAGTGACTGTTGGGTTCAGTTCAGTTTCAGCTGCAGGGTATTTTCCCCCTCCTTTTCCAGAAATATTTCCCTTTCAGAAACAGCACGCTTGATTTTGAGAATTATTCTTTTCAAATTCTTTGGATTTTTAGAACCGTAGAACTTCGTGGCGTCTAAAAATTCTTCCGATGAATCGAGTTGAGAAAACACAAAACTGTTGAGGTGACTGTTGATTTGAGTTGTTTTTGCTAATAAATGCGCAAGATAATTTTCCTCCTTTTCCAGAAGTATTTTTCGTTCAGATTTTAAGAAATATTCTTTGGAGTTTTAGAACTGCAGAACTTGACGTGCCAAATACTGATCGAAATACTGAATTTTTTTTTTGAGCGGGCACAAATAAGGTGAGCCGCATTACAACCGACGGTACTCCTTTGAAGTTTGTATGCACTGGTTGACATTCTGTCGGCCAATCAGAAATGTCGTTTACTGCGTCAGAAAATGAGGCAAGCGAAGGAAACATGCGTCTTCTTTCCCCTTGCGTGTCTCCTCCGGCTCGCGCGGCCCGCTTGTTCTTTGCAAAGCGCCCGGTCTGTACACAGGCTAGCTCGCAGCCTATGACAATCACAAAACAGGTGAGAATAAAAACATTGCTTCTCATCTTTTCGTGTAGAAAATCGTAGGCGGACGATTCGTCAGTGTTTAAAAACGTCTAATAATATGAGGGCGCCCATCTTACAAAAAATATATAACCTGATCTTATATGAAGAAAAAAAATAACACTTGGAGTATACGTGCACATAATTTTTTTTTTATGAATCAATGATAATATACAGGCCGGTAACGCCATATTTCCGGTAAATCAGTCACAAGCTTTTGTGTCACCGACTTACTGTATACTATTAACAATGGCATTTGTTTTAGCCGGCTGCAATGGAAAAGTCCAAAGCTGTTTGATATTCATCTGAAGCGACTGTCATTTTTATAGGAGGAAATAATGAACTGATTGAATCGATCGATTAACATCAGTTGATCTATTTCACCTGGTAGCTATTTTGAACGGTATGATCTTGAAACGTGCTCTATTCCAAGAATGCTCAGTTGTTCACCATTCCTAAGTCGATTTCAAAGCGTTTAACGCTATTCTTGAACAGGATTTGTGGAACAGTTGTAATAGATTTGTACGGCATGTTATTTTAATACGCTCAAAAAGCGCAAAGCAAGGACGACGGAGATTTGGTCGTGCACGTGTTAACATGTGATCCGGAGGCCGTGTTAAGCAAACAAAGATCTTTTATTAAAAATCAAACTTTTCTTACCTGTTTAAGATAAGAGGGCGCCCTACTTTCCACACCAGCAGAGAGGTCCAATACTGTAGGTTAACAGAAGAATACTATTCGTCTGATTTCGTTCAAATGGAGATCCTTCGGCCGAACTGTCGGCTGTGACCTTTGCATATTCTGGTGGCGCGAAAATAAAAGCTGACACTTGACTCTGTTTCAGTTGTCACGCAACACAATTTGTCACACAAATTGCTGGTTTCCAGTGTCACGCCATTCAAAATAGATCAAAATAAAAATCAAAACCTTTCAATAGATAAAGTTCAGAATCTGGGAAATGAAAGAAGGTAAATATGCAAAGACCCTCGCCAAGATTCAGGTCAGAGTAATATTTCATATACGAGATATCCGAAGAAATGTTTTACCCAAATTTATAGAGATTTGTATGGAGACGCCATGCTGGTGCTCAACCGGATGAACACCAACATGGCGGACGGAAACCAACAGAAACATCTGTTAACGAGTTTTGCTACAAAAGCGTGAATTTTTTCTTCGAGGAACTCATAAACATTAAAGTAATACTTGTTCTTGTACAAAAACTGGTTAGATAGCAAAATTCGTTGAATGAAACAAGTCATTTTTTTAATCTACATAACAATTCTCTTGTCCGTCATGTAAATACCGCGTCACGCAGAAGCTTAGAAATTCAAGCGTACTCTATCAGGCAAAACCAAGATCCATCTTGAAGCGAAAATTTGTATGAAAATTAGTTTTCAGCTGTCCTAATACATCGCGAAAGTAAAATCTCGGTAGCATCGATAGTTTTGTAGTTTGAATTTTAGTGACGTCAAGTGAAAACCAACAATACTATTTTATGTGTTTTAGCCTCAAACGAAGGTTTTTTTTTCTTTAACTTGTATATTATGCTTTGTTTTGCCCGCCTTCTTATTTTCGCAGTCCAGATCAGTGCCCCTTCAAAAACGTACCCTACGGAAAACGCCTTTTATGTCTAGCCCCTCTTTCCTAGTCCCTAGGCGCCATTATTCCGCGCGGCCAAAGTGTCCGGGTCACGCGGTCCAAGAGAAAATGTTCTCCTCGGCACGTCACCGAAATTGAATCAATCGATAGGGACTGGGAAAACGCCGAACAGGGACTAGGCAACAGCCCCTCCAGACCTTCCATGGGCCTTTCGAGCTGCGAATGACTTAACACAAGTGAAACGGGAGGGATCATGGGAAGGTGAAAAAAAGATGCAGCGTTTTGCCGAAAGAAATCCCCACTGAAACCCTGTAAATATATAGCCCGCACACAGACGTTGTTTAATTTTTCTTTTCGTTCTTTTCGAAA